CAATACATGGGGCTTCAGACTGGGATAACCTAATTCAACTTGGGCTGGGGACGTCATAGGCCAGACCTGCTGTGGATTGGCCTCCACTCTGGTTGTACTAAAAACTAACTTCAAGTCATAATGATTTACTCCAGTTCCAGTTATGGTAACCTGGGAAAAATCCTTGGCCAACTATGTGTGGAATCAGCATTAAGCTTCAGTACTCCTACATCGCATTCTAGTGCTTCTGATCTTAATTCTACACTTAAAAGCTGTATTTTCAACATCGTGCTTTACAATCTGGAGCCTCACTCTGACTGTATGTGGGCTCCAGGACTGCTAGCACAGTCAACGGCAGCTGGTAGAGAGGACCGCAGGGGCAGTTTCCAAAGAGATTATTTTGTCTTAGGGGGATTTCTGAGGTTAAGAGGAGATCTCTGAAATGGTTTTGGCAAATTGGCTTCTCCCTTCAGACTTCTAGATGATCATCACTCTCATCTAGCAACACCCCTAGTACCAGTCCTCTTCTATTTGATATGGTGAAGCAAAAGCCCTCTGTACCACTTCTAATCTGATTTCAGTGCACCCACCTGCTACGTGTTAGCTTCATTCTTTATAATGAATGAACAAACAGGCACAGCGAAGTACATGACTGAACCAAGGTCATACGAAGCCAGGAGGGGAACCCACTTCTATCTCCTGGTAGTGCTCTCTTCCCTGGTAGCTTACTGGGTTCTGAAAAAAGATCCTTGACATAATCATTTAGGCCAACCCCTTCTCTTTGAGATGAAGACACTCGGGTGCAAAGAAATAAACTGGCTGGTACAAAATCAAACATAGTCACTAGCACAACAGTGCAGGTCTCCCAATGGCCAGAATGGAATATTCTCTTGTCAAAATAAAGATTTAAAAAAGTGCTATAAAATCACATTAGTTGGGAACCTATCCGAGTTCCAAAGTTCATGACGATAAGGTTCAATGAACACTCTCTAAAAGAGAACCAGATAGGAGGTTGCCCACTGGCAGTTGGAATTTGGTCTGCAGACATGGTTGGTTTGGCCTGAAAGTGCCATCCTTAAATTTGAGTTTGGGCAATGCTAAAAAAAGAAGTGCGATTTTTATCACTAAAAGATGCAGATTTTTGTCTTTTCTTAAAAAAACAAAAACCAAAGGTCGGGCATGGCTGCAAACACTTTGCCAACCCTGCCAATCACCCAGAGCAGAGCAGAAGTTGGCCTTCGAAGAGGCATGTGCTCCCCAGCTCCCCAGCGGCTCCACTGTCCGAGGTCTCCCAACCCCAAGGCTACGGGCCTGACAATGCTCTCCTGGTATTTAGAACTTGTCTCCATTGAACTGGATGAGTCCATACTGGGAGCGTTTAACTTTCAACTGGGTTATCTAACTTTACTTTTTTTTTTTAAGGAACAAAAACACCACCTCACAATCCGAGTGCAGGGAAGATTTGCTGACCGAGGCTTTCCAGTTCAATAATTATTTAAAGACATGCTACTAGAAATTCTTAGAGAAGAAAAAGGAAAAATGGAAAGAAAATGTATCATGGTGTAAGTGAACTACAGTGGTTTTAGCATTTTCCACAGGTGTGGAGAGAAATACTTGGCGGATATTAAAAAAAAAAGTTGAGTGGGGGCACAAAGGTGTCACCTTCACTTCTCCTACACCCACGCTCCACTGAGGTGGTGGGTCTGAGATAGCGGAACAGGATGTCAAACTTCTCAGGCATGGAACAAGACATAGAATGGACTAAAAATACCACATGTGGAAAAGAGACATACTCTGATAGAGATCCTTTTTTAAAAAGGAGACCTGAGCTAGAAATGCATGTGGTACCCTCTATCAAAGGTACTGGCAACATTCTAGCCTTTAATTAAGTGGCCCCAAACCTATGTAAGGAAGCTATTTGGCAACACATCCATTTTGGGGCCAACTGAAGCATGAACAGTGCAGAAATGTAATGAAATGCCCCCAAATATTAGGCTTGTAGATTATTTTGCCTCCAATATTCCTACTCCATGCCCTACAAAATTCTTGCCAATGAATTTTGTAGTGAGCATGTCTGTTGTCTTTTGGAGATGTTCCCAGCAGAGGCCCACTTGGTGCATTTATCCAACCAGATGGTTTTGTTACTGGTGTCAACCTTGAGTTATGATTTGGAGCCTTGGAGATAAGCTCAGATTCAAAATCCCTACATAGTGAGTAGTACAAAGGATGTGTGTCTTTGGGATGAAGATTCAAGGGCTGGTCCACTTATTAGCTGTGCGATCTTGACAAGTCACTTAACTCTTAAACTCTCTATAGGCATGAGTTTTCTCATCTGAAAAAGAAGAAAGGCAAACTAAGAAAAGCTGACCCACACAAAGTAAGTAGCTGGCACACAGAAGGAACCCAATAAGCATTCCACATAATCTCCCTTCACTTCACAGAATGTTGGACGCTATGGGGCCTTAGAAGTTGAGAGCAGTCCCACCCCTTCATAAACACAAGAAGAAATTAAGGACCCAGAAATGCTCTCAAACAATGGCAACTCCAGCAACTCTTGAGACCTGGGCTCTGGTATTTCACCCAAAGTTGGTTTTCTCACATAAGCCACCCCATGAGAGATTCTAAGAGCAGATAGGGATAGTGACAAGGCAGTCCCTTTGTTTTCCAGCAGCAAGTGCAAGCCACAGGGCTAGGTACACAGATCTATTCAGTTGAAGTTGACATAGACCTTACTACTCCTTCCTGCTCTCATCCTCCCCAACTAACATATCTTAGTTGCTTGTTGGGACTCTATACATTCAGGTTTCGTTTGTCAAACTAAGTGGCTGAACTCCCCTGTCAATAGCTTGGATTATTGATCAACCAAAGGTAAGACATGATACTCCAGTATTATAAAATCTCTCTCTCTAATCTCTCTCTCTCTCTCTCTCTCTCTCTCTCTCTCTCTCACACACACACGCACGCACGCACGCACGCACGCACGCACGCACACACACACACACACATACACACACGACACTTTTATTACTCTCTAAGCTTGGTTCCTGGTCTGTAGGGAAATGGTTGACCCTGTTAAATTTCAGCTTGCAAAGTGCTGGCTTTGCCCAACTGCATTCTTACAGAATAGGGATGTGGAAAATCAATCATGTTTAGAGAAAGGTGAGTAACTGATTCCCAAGAGAACTACTCTTCAAAAAAGACTTCACTAGCATGTTAGATGTTGGAAAGAACATATGTGTCAATAGGAACCAGAATCCTAGATCCTGAAAGTGAAACTTCACAGTTCAGATAGCATGTTATAACTATTTCCTTCACTTTCTCTTGGGAGCAAAACAATTCTCTTAGAAGATTGCTTTTTGAAAATAAATTATGGAATATTGACTGATATAAAATACTCATTTGTGGACTGTAAGTCACCTAAAGCCATTTCTTCTGCCCACTGAAGGTTTGGGGGGAAGTGAAGGGCTGTGAAGATGACTCCCCAGAAATCCTGTGGCACACACCCCCTGTAACCCAGCCCCCACAATATATCTCCAACATCAAATGTCCACTCTTGTGTCACTATCACCAAATCTTCTCTTGATCATTAGGCTACCACCTTCTTCATGATCCTAAGAAAATTACAAAAATAGTTTGTCTATATATTAAGAGAAACAACTACTGATTAGACTGGGTAAATTTGTAAGCATTATGTGGAGTGGTTGAAAATAGAGTAACTTGTTAAGGTTGAAAGAGAAACCATAGTCCAAACATGAATTCAAACCCTTATTTGAATATGCTATTTTAAACTTATCTGTGGTAGGGCACAGACCAAATTAAATCACTCATTTACTGACTTGAGTCCCAAGCTTCAATTCTCGGGTGGATTATTTTTAATTTAAAAATAAGCTCTTGCCCTATAAAAATAAGCAGCACCAAGGAGAAATGCAAGGCAGCCTAACTGTCTCTAGAGGCAGAGCAGTTACTTTTACACAAAAACTCAAAAGTATTAATGACATTATTTCCATTTCTAAGTTTAGAAAAAGAACTTTATGGTATAGCTCTAGGTTGTAATGAAGTAATACAGACAGGTATATCTCTGATATTACACCTTATGATTTTTAAGTGACAGATGTAGGTAAATAGATGTTATAATATGACCACACAACGCAATACTACATAGCCACTTAAAATACAGCAAGGGAGAACTATGTTTCAGCCATAGAAAAATATGTGATAATATGAATTTAAAACAGCAAGCTGCAGAAGCCATTTTTGGAAAACAAAAGCAAACATGCCTACATATATATATAACCTTCTTGACACACACTGACATTTCCGATTCTAAATTCAGCTGCATGAGTGTATTTATACTTAAAGAACTGTAACGACAGCTCCTGTGTGCCTTTCCTGTTAAATTTCTGATTAACTTTTGTTTTCACCCCACTTAGCAAAAACACACACAACTCTCCAGTACTTAGGCTACACGAGGGAAAGGCTTGGCTTGCACGGGTTTTCTTGTTGCTGAATGAAAGAGAACAGGCTGTAGTCGTCCCCTCCCCCTTTTTAGCTATATTCCTGAGGGTTCCCACGTGTCAGGGGCAGCCAGATGGCAGGTGCGGGGTGCAGGAGAAATCCGGTGCCAATCCTGCCAAACTAAGTGCTGGTAAAGGGTGCGTGTAGCTCGCCCACTTCCTCCCATTTCAAACCTTCACAGATAGTCTGCTTCTCCATCCAAGTTTTATTTGTGCGGCCCACCCTTACACATCTGCAGAGCACACAGGCTCTGCATGGGGAGAGCTGTGATGTGTTCTAACAACAATCGCATGCCAATTCGCCTAGGGTCAGTGCTCGAGCAACCGTCAGCCCAGAGCTACTCCCAAAGTGGGCAGGTAGGGTATGGAGAAAGGAGGACAAAGTGTAAACATTTATTTTAAATAAATGAGGTGACACCTGCCTCTCAGCGCCGGCGAGTGGGATGGAGGACACAGGAGTTCTGGGAGATCGCCAGGCAGAGGTGCGCAGGTAGCACCCGGCCTTACCTTGCAGGGAAACAGGACTGCCGAGGCCACCTTCTCCATAGCAAGGTTCCTGATACTGGGCGTCAGGGCGCCCCTGCACGTCGGGCAGCAGCTCAACTTCTGGCGGCATTGGTTACACACCAGGTGCCCGGCCTGGCACTGCAGGATGGGGGGCAGGACATAGTCAAAACAGACCGGGCACTCGAAGAGCGAGGTCAGCTCGTGGTGCTGTGGGGACACCGGGCCAGCCGCGCCGCCGCCGCCGCCACCGCCGCTGCCGGGGCCCGAGATCACCGCCGCCGCGGCGGGCACCGCGGACGAGCCGGGGCCCGCTGCCGAGATGGTGGCGGCGGCCGGGGGCGCAGCCGGGGACGGAGCGTGCTGGGGCGGCGGCGGCGGCTGTTTGCTGCAGGGTTTGTTAGCGCTGGGGCCGGTGGAGGACGGGCGGCTCATCGCGCTCCGAACCAACCATGGAACTGCGGGTGTCTGCCGACCGCGGGGCCGCTGGGGTCAAGGCGGTGCGCGCCGCCCGGGCGGTGGGCTCCGGAGCAACGCCACCGCGCCCGCCCGGGACCCGGCAACGGAGACGGCGGGCGCTGGGCAGGCGGGGGCCGGACCGCGCAGACGACCTCCGCGGCCCCGGGCGTTCCGAACACCCCTCCGCGCCCCCAGGCCCCTCCTCCCGGCGGCGTCGCGGGCCCCGAACTCGAGCGCGGCGCAGAACCCGGCGCCCCAGCTCGGAGCAGCCGCTGACGTAAGCCCCGGGGGCGCGCGCGGACGTGACGCCTGGACACGTGTGTGGCGGCCCGGCGCGCGGGGACTGGCAGAGCCACCCTGTGACGGAGGCCGGCCCCTCCCGGCGCCAGCTGGCCGCGCGGGGACCGCCTAGCGCGGGCGCTTCCGGCTCCGACTGCAGCCCGGCCCTCGACCTGAGCGCGCCCGGCTCCGCGCGGCGCAGGGGCTGCTTTTCCGGGTTGGGGCGGGACCGCCCTTCGGGAAGGCGTCGCCGAAGTCGTCAGGCCACACTCCGTGGGGCCACCCCCGGGGGAGCCGGGCCGACGCGTCAGGGCTCAACCGGAAGGGCAACTTCAAGGGGGCGTGGGCGGGGTGCTGGCGGGGCGGGACCTGGACAGGTCTGAAAAAAACGTGCGGGTTCTCGTCCCCGGGTTGAGTCACCGGTGCCTGGGGAAGGAGTGTGGCGCGGCCCGCTGGGCTCCTAGTCTCTTAAATGAGATTTCGAGACCCCCTAGAAATGCCAGAAATACGGGTTGGGTCGTGAGGCCCCAGGAAGACAATGGGTGACCCTCCAGTTTAGCGCGCTGCGTCCTCATCCGAGATTCCCGCTGAAGTTAAAGGCTTTGATGCGAGGTGTAGGCACGCACCTTGCCGAGTGAACCACAAGTTAATTTAAGGTGCTCCGGGTTAAATTGCTTTTCATACTTTGAGCCACTGACACCAGAATTGGAGGAAGAGGCTACTTGGACGGGATTCAGATATTCTTTGTAGAAGAGACAGTGAGTGATAAGGAGCAAGAGACAGGACTGGGTGAAAAATGGTGCTTCCTGCTTACCATCTCTGTGACTCTGGATTTCTTTAATTTTCTGTGCCTCAATTTCCTCATCTGTAAAAGTAGAATGAAAAAAGTACCTATCTCATAGGTGGGATAGTGAGAATTAAGAGTTTGATATATGCCAATCATAAACATTGCTTAAATGTTAGTTATTTAAAAATATTGTTAGTGTTTAATATTAATAGTATCAGTGAATAAAATCAGTTTAAGAAATATACTGTTAGATGTCCGGCCTGTGTGGCTCAGTGGTTGAGTGTTGACCCATGAACTAGGAGGAGGTCTTGGTTCCATTCAAGGTCAGGGCTGGATCCCAGTGGGGGGCTTGCAAGAGGCAGCTGATCAATGATTCTCATCATTGATGTTTCTATCCCTCTCTCCCTCTCCCTTCCTCTCTGAAATCCCTAAAAACATTATATATATATATATATATATATATATATATATACACATATATATATATTCTAGAAAAAATTAAGTTTAATCTTAATTTCTTAGAAGGACTACATGCATGGGATTGGTGAATATGATCTGAGTCTTGAAAAAAAATAGATATGATGTTATTCAATCATTCAGTAAATGATTCCTGAGTATTTGTTATGTACAGTCCTTGTTTGGGCTCTGAGAATGGTTCTCATTCAGTTTACCTTCTAGTAAGGGAGTAATGAGGATAGCCACACACTCATGGGAGAGGATTTCAGATGAATAGGTGGGGTGGGGGTGAAGACATTGTAGCAGGAGCTAAAGCACAGGGAGGTAATGCATTTAGGAGAGCATTGAGCTTGGGGGTTGGGGATGGTGCATGGAGTCTCAATTGACCTGATAAGACCTGTACCTCAGTAACAAGGGGTAACCACTGTAGGTTTTTGAACAGCACTATAACATGATGAGTCAGAGTTTTGAAGGGGGAATACAAAATAATAATAACTAATATTTATTGAGTGCCCACTATGTACCAGGATTTTGCAACAACTCTACATGATGGGTACTATTGTTCTCATCTTCATTATTATAGTTGAAACTCAGACACAGGGAGATTAATTTGCTCAGGATCACACAGCTGATAATCTTTGGGAAAAGCTCCAGAGTCCTTTTTCTTAACTACCTAACTAGACTATACCCCTTTCAGTTATGTCCGACTCCTACTTATAGTCTAGTTAAGGAGTTAAGATTAGCACACTCAACACAGTCAGAAAACAGTTGCACAGCCTGAAATAAAGCACTGAATTTTGTGGGCACACTTTACATAAATTCTTTCCTTAGCTGGTCTTCAGAGGAAAAAATTAAATCATATTCTATTTATTCCATTTGTGCCTTTTTATATCATAAAGAACATAATAGTGACAACAGAAAAAAGAATCAGCCACAGTTTTACTTTTATTGGAGAAAATATAATATTTTCCACTCTTAATTTAACACCCAAGCCAGTGGAATTTATTACCAAGATTCCTTCCCTTTCCTTCCACCTCTGGCCTTTCAGTGCAGGTGTCCTCCATGCCCAGGGCTCACTAGCTCTCATTGGAGAAGTGGGATCCCCACCTTGTCATGTTGACATGAGCATTCATTGTTCCAGTCAATGAGGAACTAGTTGTTCAAAAGGCAATTTGGTTTCAGGGGTGTTGAAACAAAGAACAGGAAAAACAATTATCTGCAGAGAGATTTGGTTTATTTTTCCAAAAATACAACTAACCCATCCACTCTTACCCTGACAGGTGCCTCCCATGGTATGGAGAAGTTTCTTCTTGCTTCCACCTTCATAATATTGCACTCCTTTGGCAGTTGTTGAAGGTAGGTGGGATGGGAGTGAACAGGCTGCTGGTTGACCCACATTAGTGACCCCTCCAGGCTGCCAGGCTGGCCTTTCCAGTTCTTCCTTCCTCCTTCCTTGGAACTTTTGATACAGGGAAAGATGGCCTTTGCACATTGGACACTGTGAGCTAGAGCACTCTCTATCAGGAGGCCATGCATACTATTGTGAGGTTTATCTGCCCTGGAGAGTTGCTGGGCTGTGTTTAATGGGTGACTCTGAGGCCTCGAGGAAATGAAAGGGGGAGGGGGAGTCCAGACTTTTGTTAGCTCCTGATTTATGACTCATTTATCACATCTGTTGCATGACAGGTTGGCCTCCTTCCCCCACCCACTGCATCCCAAATTGCATAAAAAGGGCATGTGCAAAGCAGGACACCTCTCCTTAACTCGTCTCCCACTCTGTACTACCCTTTAAAGACTATGGGTGTACTGGATAACCTTTCTTTCCTTAAAATATTAGTGAATATTGTTTTTTTAAAACCCCTCACAGATGAGCCCCAAATCTCACCTAGACTGCTGAGCACAATGAGAAAGGCTCCAGCTAGGCAGATAAGCTCTTGCCCTTCTTTCTGTAACTTATAAATTGTGTGCTTTTGCAAATTGGGCAACTTCTGCAATCAGGCTAATGGTATGCATTTTCAGAGCAAAGTGTGGTTGGCTTTTTCTGTTTAGGTTTAGAGATGACTCAGGATGTCATTGGAGCTTGCTGCTTGGGAATTTCTAATGTGGGGAAAGCTTGTGGGAAATTTGAAGGTGGCTGTGAAGCCCCATGATAATTATGGTAGGAACTTTCATCTTTATAAAGTACTTTTGTTTCTGGGGTAATTTCCACATGCTCTAACTTTTTTTGAATAATTATGGGTCTTTTAATGCAAGTATTTTATGAACAATGGCCATGAACCTTGTATGTACTGGGTATTGCCACAGAGTATATATACATTTGCATTATTTTTGTATCCATACTTAGCTAATATTTCTTTAGTGCTCACCTTCTGCCAGATACTGTGCTAAGCACTTTACATATTTTAATTCTTTTAATATATGTTCTATTGTCTGTACATGTTTACAGACAACAGAACTGAGGTACAGAGAGGCCAAGTGAATTATAATAAATATATTTAGGATGGCTGCAATGAAACCTCCTCCTGCTGTTCTTCCTGGTGTGATCCCCTTCCTTCAGGTGAAAGCTGGATCTACTGACTCACTTTAAATGAACAGAATATGGCCAAAGTGATGGAACGTCATTTCCAAGATTAGGTTACAAAAAGACTAAGACTTCTGTATTTCTGTCTGTCTCTGAGCCTTCTATGTGGGTGAAGTAAGCTACCACAATGGGGGTAGCCCTATAAAGGCCGACACCACAAGGAATTAATGCCTCTGGCCCATAGCCAGCAGAGACCCCAGGCGTAGCTGACAATTGGATTGCACTTGTGTGACCCTGAACCAGAGGACCCAGTGACAACAGAGCTGAGCTGATATAGAAACTGATAATAAATGTGTTAAAAATTTTTTTTTGTTAATCCTCACCCAAGGATATTTTTTTCATTGATTTTTTATACAGAGTGGAAGGGAAGGAGGAGGGGGAGAAAGAGAGAGAGAGAAACAGAGACACATTGATATCAGACACATCAGTTGGTTGCCTTCTGAACTCGCTCGACCCAGGCCTGTGATCTAACCTGCAACTGGAATTGAAACTGTGACTCTTCAGTGCGAGGGCTGACAATCTAATCACTGAGCAACACTGGCCATGGCAATGTTTGTTGTTTTAAGCCACTAGGCTTGGGGGTAATTTATTACACAGCAATATAACTAATACACTTGTTCAAGGTTAAAAAGCTGTCTCTATTAAGAATTGCAGATTATAGACCCTGTACATTTTTCCTCTCTTAAATTATTTTTATTATAATGCTACTTAAGTATATAGAAACAAATCTAGGAATGCAGTTTTTATGATTATTGTTGTATACAGCTATAAAAATAAAAAATTGGAATACCAAATTTCATAAATACCCAGAATAATGTTTTTTTATTACTTATTCTGATTTAAATTTATACTTTTTAAAATGATAATGTCATTGCTCTGACCGGTTTGGCTCAGTGGATAGAGCGTT